GATCCGGTGAGTTCCTATGTGTGATGACCTTGTTTTCTTGGCAAGTTGCATAACCAGTGACATATTCACTGACGTCATGAGCAAGGATGGGCCACCAATAGGTTCTTTGGAGAATCTCTTGTGTTTTGTATCACCCAGGGTGTCCTGTGGTAGGGGAATTGTGGGCTTCCTGGATGAGATCCTGTCGAAGTTTGGTGTCCTTGGGTATGTAGACTTGTCCTCTGAATACCAGCAGGTCGTCTTGAACATCCCAGTTAGGAGGGGTGTGCTTGTCTGTGGATGAAGTGTGCTGTAATGCTAGCTGAAGACCCTGATCAGCGATGCTATCCTTTGTTTTGCAAGTCAAGATGCATTGTCTGATGTCAGTGTTGATGGGTTCAAGGTTCTGAATGGCTTGAATGAAGACTTCTGATGGAAGAAGGACTTCTTCCACAGGAAGTTCACCCCCCCTTTCAGATGCATCTTGATCAATACGTGATAGGGCATCTGCTTTGCCTAAACAAGTTCCTGGGACATGGCAAAGATGATAATTGAACATAGACAGGTACAACGCCCATTGCACCTATCGAGGGTTCAATTTTTTGGGATCTTTGAAATAGGTCAGATTCATGTGATCCATTAATACTTCTACTGGTTCGGTGCATCCTTTGATGTAGTATCACCAGGATTTGAAACATCTGATGATTGCCAAGAGTTCTCGATCGTAGATTTCGTACCGTTGTTCTATGGGAGAGAATGACTGGGATAGGAAAGCACATGGATGCCATCTTCCATCAGATTGTTTCTGAGATAGGATACCGCCGGAAGCTTTCAGGGAAGCATTGGATTCTATTTGGAATGGTTTAGTAACATCAGGTTGTACCAAAAGAGGTCGGGTCTTAAAACATTCCTTGAGTTGATTGATGGCTTTGTCGTGATCATCAGTCCAACTCCACTTGATCCCTTTTACCAATAGGTCAAAGAGAGGTCGTGCAACTTTAGAATAACCTGGAATGAATCAGCAGTAGAAGTTGGCAAAGCCTAGGAACCATTGCAGCGCTTTAATACTGTCAATGTTTGGCCAATTTAGTACTGCTGATACCTTATCTTCTGCCATCCCTATTTGTCCTGGTCAGAGAATAAACCCTAGAAATTCAACTTCTGATACGTCAAAGAAGCACTTCTCAGGTTTGAGGAACAGGTCTGATTCTTTCAGGTGCTGGAGAACCAATTGAGTGCGTTGTCAATGTTCCGCATGGTTGGTGGAATAGATGAGAATATCGTCAATGTAGATTACGAGCCATCCTTCTAGTAACAGATCTGCAAAGATACCATCTATCATAGCTTGGAAGGTTGCCAGAGAGTTTGTCATTCCAAAGAACATGATGGTTGATTCGAATAATCCTCATAGGGTAATAAATGCCCCCTTCCATTCATCACCTTCTTTGATGTGCACATTATTGTATCCTGCGCGTAAATCAAGCTTGGTGAACATAGTTGGCTTGGCAGAGGCAACACGATCTAATAGATCTTCTACTCTTGGAATAGGGTAGGCATTCTTGATGGTGGCATCATTGAGTTTCCTGTAGTCCTGACATGGTCGTAGATTTCCTGATTTTTTATTGACAAAGAAGAATGGGGATGCCATAGGAGACTTTGATGGATAGATATAGCCTTTCCGCAGGTTTTCCTCAATAAAGATATCCAATTCTTTCAGCTTTGCTGGTGATAATGGATAAACCTTCCCTCACTGGGGTTTGAAGCCGGCTTCCAAATTGATTGCATGATCCCAGGGTTTCCGTTCTGGTAGACGTTCTGCTGTGCTTTTGTTAAATACAGAAAGGAACACATTTAGGTACTCTGGGATGTTGCTAGCAAGGGTTTTGATTGCTCGTAGAAGCTGATCCTAATAAAAGCGCATCTTCCCCGTGATCCAGTTGATGGCTGGGTTGAAATGTTTAAACCATGAAAGACCTAGAATGATTGGATTCCTATCCAATACTGTGGCACAAGCTTCTATCCTTATTGGTTGTCTAGATAAGGATATAGTGAAGAAGACTTTGTGTTTGATGGTCGCAGCTTTATTTGGTGATCTGTCAACATTAAACACTAGTCTAGGTGTGATACTTTGGTGCTGGAGGTTGTGATCTTGAGCGAACTGGATGTCCAATATAATTCTCCATTGCTCCTGTGTCGAGCAATGCCTCAGTGGTGACGATTTTGGCATAGGTTTTTAATATACAAGGCAAATAAATAGATTTATGAGCTAATCTCGCCTGATATAAATAATCCTTAGTGCCAGCACTTCGATTCAACGTCACAGCAATTGAAGACTTCAAAAATCCTTCTCAGAAGATATAGCCTGAATGTATTCTTCGGCTATCCCTTCCTCATCGGAGGAATCCTTGATCTCATCCTTCTCTTAAGTAAATGTGTCATGTGATTCAATTGCCCTGATGCGATTATTCGGGCATTGATGGCTTTGATGCCTGGGTTTGTGGCATCTGAAACATAACTTCTTCTTCATGTGCTCCTTGCAATCCTTGTCTGACAGATGTCTGATCCGTTGATCGTTAGATGATACTTCCTTTGATGATCCATCCCTGGTCTCAACTGCCCAGTTACGATGTACAAACTTGTTACGACCAAAAAAGTGGTTGGCAGATGGCATGAATAGAGGTTTATCACCAAAAATATCAATCATAGATTGGCAGATAGATTGGACACTGTTGAGATATCCTACCACAGTGACTGGTAATGGCGGCTGGGCGGCAATCTTGATAAGAAGAGCAGGAGGAATGAGATGCTGAAGTTCCCAAATTTGACCTAATTTGTTTAATCCACTGGCTTGTAAGAGAGGACAGAGAGTTGTGACAAATTGAAGACCATTTCCTCCACACTTTACCCAAGTACATTTACTAATATTGTTTAATGCTGCTTGAGTGTCATCCTTGACTCCAAAGGTCTGGATAAAGGACTTCCTGAAGTTAGCCCAGCTGGGTAGTCCTTTGAGAGGTGCATCTTCAGAATCAGATATGGGTTCTTCTGCATCAGTGATGATCGTGTGAACAAAGAATTAGGCAGGTCTCTTGATATATGAAAGAGCGTATTGAACCTTATCTTTATCGGTCTGGATCTTCTTGGAATTTCCAGCAAAGTACAGGTATAATTTGTCCAGAAATTCCTTGCTCTTTCCTTTATCTCCTTCAAATTGATTAGGTTTGTTTACTGCTCCGCTGTTGTTGTCAGACATGTCTCCTTTGTCTTCTTGATTACTGGGTTCCGGGTTATTGTCTTCTGGGTTGTTTGGGTGTCTGTCAGTGGGATCTTCTTCTGGGTTGGGATCGACTGGAGATCTGGGCGGTTCTGGCTTGGGTTCTGGTGGAACAGGAACTGTCAAGGTATCGCCCTTGACCCTAACTCTAACCCTAACCCCAGTACTTACTTGTGTAGTGCTGGTAGTTGCAAGAAGTAAGCGAAGTGCTTTGTCTTGGGAGTGGCTAACTCAGAGAGAGTAGAGTGAAGTAGCTGGAAGTATGATCGAAAGATCAGACTGCCATACTACGCTATATTGCTCTGGTCTTTATACATGAGGAGCCAGACCCC